TCTATATTTTAGCTTTCTGTTCAAGATTGGCAGATTTTCAATGTTACTGCATCTTGCCCCCCCCCCCCCCCCCCCGTTCTTACACCTCACTCTGAATAGGTGTACTTGAGCCATTCTAGTTATTACTAATATTACTCTTCTTTGAGTTGCAGCAATGGTTTTCCTCTTCACGTTTATTATGAATCATGACACCCAGACTGGTTATTGACAGTCGGTATTCTAGTTCTAGGTCTTTTCTCAGGCTCAAAACAGGGCCTATAGTTTGTTATGTTGGCTAATATTGTGAGGGGAAAATATAAATAAGTAAGAACAGACTGAAATACCAAAGTCTCTCAAGATCCCAGTGCCACACTGACATGTTGTTGACTGGATATAATGTACTTACATGTGTGTGTGTGTGTGTGTATTCACAAACATAAACATGTATTATATCAGATATAAATGGAGCACACGCTTTCATGGTTATGTAACGTGTTCCTGGAAAATGGATGAGGCCCCTCCCTTGGAAAATTGAGAAGCTGGGTTGGCAGTCACCCAGTATTATAGTCATCTATTGTTTGAAGACTATACTACAAAATGTACATTCGCATTCATTTATAGACATTTTGACTTTTTATCATTGATAGATTGGCTTTTTTGGGGATAATTCTTGACGCGCAGCGGCCTGATTTTTCCCTCGAATTAGGGTCTTGAAAAAATTTTCCAGGATTTGGTGGGGACCCTGAATGTACCTACATGGGTGCGTGCCACGTGTGTGTGTGTGTGTATATTATATATATATCATATATAAATGGAGCATGCACTGTCATTGTTATGTAACATGCCCCTGGAGAATGGATGAGCCCCCCCCCCCTCCCCCAACCGCCTGGAAAATTGAGAAGCCGGGTTGGCAGGCACCCTGGGAACAGTTTTTGTAGGAAAATCGAAACTATGATGTGGTTCCTTTCGGACAAGTGTAGGCCTTTGTCGAAAATAGGCTTTCGTCATGAATTTTTTGACCAAATCTCCTTGAATTTAAAAATTTCTCCTTGAAACCTCCTTGAATTTGATGGGAAGTTCATGGCAGAAACCCTGGTATTACTATTGTTTATAAATGGGAAAAAAATTGCTGTATTTTACGATTTGACATAGTGTTATAACAATACCATGCCGGTTTTAAAAGAGAAAATATCTGAAATAGATCTAAATACAGATTTCCGGTGTGTCGAAGGTTACAAGAGAAAAATAGAACAGGATCTGGTTTGATTAGAGCATAAGCTTATTTTGTATTTAGAGGTTGTTTCGAAAATCTCTCGTCATTTTTTTGTTTTTTATAGACTAAACCTCATACACTTCTAGATTTTTGCATGAACCAAGTACCCGGTATGTACTACATTTGGTCAAATTTGATGCCTTCATTTAAAAGTTATTACGAAAACTGAGGGTTCCGTTATTTTGTGTCACGCGTTATCATATTATATTTGGTCGATAACTTTATTGTTAACGTACTCGTGTGTTGTTCCTAGTAAATGTTGTTAATAACATTTGATGAATTTGTATTGTTTGTCTTGATTTTTTAAAAGGCTCTGCTGCTTTTATGCTACTGGTACTCAAAATTGTCATGTTTTTAAAACTAAAAATGTTAAGCCCGTACTAATACGCCTGGGATGGGAAGGTTGCAATTTTTTGCAATTTTTAGGCGGTCTACCTTGCATTTTTTTGCAATTTTTCTATTTCAAAAATGTAATTTTCCGCGGGGCCAGCCAATAGCTGCACCACAGACACCAGTGCTTGGTAAATCATAGAACTACACAATTATTTATTTTATGCAAGAAAAATTCAGAAATTATGCAAACTGAGCCCAAAAAATGTGAAATTATGCGATTCTATCAATTTTAAGGGCTGGTGGGGCACCTAAAATTTATTTGGGCTATTACAAGGCCTAGAGTGCCCATATTTTCTGTGGGACATCGTGTGTTGTTGGGGATTTGAAATCAATAGTTCAAAAAGTTTATTGTGAATCGGTTGCTATGGAAACGGCGGCCATATTGGATTTTGTATGCCCTTTTCAATCCCATTGCATTCCGTTATTTATTAACTGACTCACTTTTAATTTGGCATACCAACAGTAAATATGGGGCTCTTAAATTTAGCTTGTTGAATTTTTTATATATGCTTTAGTTTTTATTTTATGACACTTACTGATGGGTTGTTTTTTTTAAAATAAAAAAATTCATGCTTTCTAAGCCCATAAATCAAAAACAAATCCATTAATTAAAAATTCAACATGCCAAAATTTAGAACTAGGTGTTGTTGGTATTCTGTGAAAGTTACATAAAAATTGAAAAAGAAACAGCAGGAAAATGGGACAATGTGTGAAAAAATGGAATTGTGAGAAAAAGGCTGACAAAGGTAAGAAAGGGCTGGAAAACATACGCTTTCGCAGAAAACCTTGATTTAAAAACTCTGCTTTAGGGTGTAGCAAGGTTTACGTACGTTTCTGGAAATTGTTCAGGAAATGCCCAGGTACTAAAATATGTAATAACCCCAATTTGCATAATTTGACACCAAAACACGATTTCTAGGTGCCCCACCAGCCCTTAACAAAGAATGGTAAAGCTAGGAAAATAATCAGTAATTATGCTCCAAAAAATGTTCAAATTTTGCTAAATTATGCGGGGTGCATAAAACCACGGGGACAGGTACGAGACACATCACAGAAGTTGCCAAAATCTCTGCATGTGGTTGGAGGGTAGTACTGACTGGTAGGTCCTATTTCTTTACTTTCCCTCTGGGTTTTTTTTCTGTCTTTCCTACTTTTTCCCAGCTCTAAATGACCTATATTCTGTGACCCCGCATAATTTAGCAAAATTTGATCATTTTTTGCTTAATTTCTGATTACTTTCCTGTATCATTCTTTGTTAAAATTAACAGAATCGCATAATTTCACATTTTGGGGTTCAGTTTGCATAATTTCCAAATTTTTCTTGCATAAAACGACGGGGACAGAATATTGTATCGATGCAGATCTATTTCTCTTTACTGAAACAAACAAACCAAAATCTCCGATTCCCCAATGCCACGATATGTACATGTACCTTCTATAATGGTGCATTAAGGCTGCTTTATAAAGGCCTTGTATACAAAACTATGGGCAAGTACATTGGCGAGTATCAAGTTTTAACAGCGAAAATTCGTGTGTATCAAGATCTGTTGGTTGGACGTTTATTTACGGCAAGCACACCAACTCAGAGATAAGGACAGGTGAATTATGTTCTTTTTCGATGTTCTGTACATCGACTGTCAATCATGCAGGGAACAGAAGCTCCGTCTTTGACTTTGAGATGGCTTCATCAGAAAAGAAGGAAAACGCACACAGAATTGGAAAAAAAAATCAAACTCGAATTCTTTTGGTTAGGGATTAAAAAACAAAACAATATGTAATTTATTTTTAATTTACATTTAGTGGATGTTAAAACAATTATATCTAGTAGCCTTTAAAAACAATACGAATCTTTAACTGTTTTGCATAGTTTGTGTCCTTAAATGATGAATCAGGACAAAACACGTAGCAATTCCTGTTAACTGAACATATAACTAACAGTAGGCTACATGCTTATGTATTCATTTACTGAAAGGAACATAATTATTGAAGGAAGCCTACGTATGTGTATTTTCAATCATGTTCAACTTCAGCACAATTTCGATTATAATTTAGGAAAGCCAACCTTGGCTGAGAGGGATACGATGTCTCAACAGCAGACTGATGGAGAGAATTGACTGGGGGAAAAAATGTATGTGTAACTGGAGAAGGAGAAAAGTCCCAGTTGTCGGAAATTTTGAATATCAAAACAAAGGCATATTCTTGTTAAAAATTTTATGCTGAATACGCTGATTTTAAAAAAAAATCTATGAAATATATCCTGAGTACTTTTAAAGATATCTCTCATTTTGTAACACAGGGTTTAAGAACAAAGTTTGGAGAAAAAAACAACTTCTAGGACATAATTTGTCCCCTTTCTTGAAGTACAACACGTTGCAAAAATAATTAATTAAAAAAAGAATGAGAAAATCTAGGCTTAACATATTACATTTACATGTATAAAAATCTTTTCAATTTCAATTAATTTTGAAGAAATTGTTCAACGTGCGTTTTCTGAATCTGATGGAACAAATTGTTTGACCAGGTACGACTTTTTACTTTTTCGGGCTTTTCACCACATTGCTCAAAAATAGCTTTTCCGACAACTGACAACTGGGACCTTATATATATAATGTAGTACTAAGTGTCAATGGTCTATGCCATACAAACGTACAAGAATGATGTATGTACGTGTCATGTGGATCATAATATGTACACAAGAAATCCGTTTATGAACAAATAATATGGCATTCCATATGAGGCAGTGGTTGAGGTTTGTAAAATTTTGTAAAAACAGATTCATGTTAAAAACAACCTCATCAATCTCCAACTTAACTTAGCTCATTAAGATGGTTGGGGGGGGGCTCTTCAGCAACCCGGGCTGAGACTGAGAGGGTACGACGTCCCAGCAGATAGTGTCATATTCGATAAAAATAACTGTATTCGCGTACTTGTGAAAAATAATTGGTTGCTTTTAAATTTAAAGCACAAGGGGGCTATCCCGAAAAATGCTGTTTTCACAAAATCAAAGGTAAAGTCTATGGACCCATCTTCAGTTTCTTTTTAAAAAAAGACGAGGAGAGTTTTCTCTATAATAACCAAACAAATATACACACCAATGAAACCTAACTTCTCCTATAGGAGGTAGGACCATGCCCACTTTTGGTGTAGTTCAAGATTTCTGAAAACCCCCGATATCGGGGATAGCCCGCTTGTCCTTAAAATTAAAAGCGACCAATTAACACCGACGTACATTGAAAGAGCCATGGTTATCCATAACATATTACATGTATGAACACTTGGGGAAAAAAAGACATAGGCCTCATCATCATCATCCAGTGCCATATCTGTGACAAACATCGGCGATCATGGTTTTCCATTCATTCCTTCGCTCGGATGCTCTAAAAAAAGCTACGTTTCCCTGATCTTTCCCTGTTACCCATTTGTTTAGGCCTACGTCATCAATATACCGGTATTATTTTCCCTGTGACTCATGCCGTCCTTGAACTTGAGACTGAGACTTGAACTTGGTGTGTTGAGGTGTTCTGTTCAGTTGCTGCACACAGCATCCACTGGCTGTGGACAGTGCTCAAAGTCGACGTGGTTCAGGGCCTTGATGGCTATCCCAGCCCCGAGGTCCCCCTCCCGCCCCACCCTGTCATACTGCCGGCTCTGGTAGGCTGCCTGCTCGGAGCCAGCGCTGCGGAACGTACACAGGTGGGGCTTGGCCTGGAGGAGAAGAAAAAAAAATACAACCCAAAACAAACCTTTAACCTGTCCCCGTGGTTTTATGCACCCCGCATAATTTAGCAAAATTTGATAATTTTAAGCATAATTTCGGATTATTTCCCTCTATCATTCTTTGCATGTATGTAGTATAGGGTTTTACGGCGCTCGCAACTGCTAAGGTCATATGAGCGCGCTATCATTCTTTAATTTTGTTTTGGTTAAAATAAACAGAATCGAATAATTTCAAATTTGGGCTCAGTTTGCACAATTACAGAATTGTTCTTGCATAAAACGACGGGAATAGACAAACTAAAACAACAACCCCCCCCCCCCCCAAAAAAAAAATAAATAAAAAAAAAGAAAAAATTAATAATAATTATATTACAGTGGAATCCACTTATAACGAGTCTGGAAAAAACGAGAAGTCTGTTATATAGACACTATTCGAAAACCCCTGGGTTTTTTTTTTCTCTTCTTTACCTTTGTAAATAAAATACTGCTATAGCGCTCTCAGAAAAACATGAGAGTCGGTTATTGCGGATTATTGCTGCTGCTATGCACAGTGCATAGGCCAATTATACATATTGCAAAACCTCGCCAGTTGAGAAACTTGTTGGTGATCTTGCGAAACAAAGAATGGGAGAGCCAATGTGTGTCAACAATGAAGGCCGGAGCGACTGAGTAGGGAGGGTGTGGCTTGCGCAGACAAGCAGAACGCATCGCGTGATAGGCCAGTGTAAGCGTAGTTTAGATTATCAAGGCCTATCATGCCTCTCACTTTTCCTATGCGTGGATGGAGAGGTCACAGCAATGTGATAGATGGAGCGAATGTGTGGTGTGCGCAAGCAAACGGAATGTACCACAGGGTGTGGTGGGGTGGGGGAAACACAGCGGGCGAGTTAGCCCAGAGCCCTTTCTTTCTGATCGCCAAAACAGAGCTGCCAGTCAACATCGCTAGCGCTAGAGAAAGAAAACTGATTCGATTTTTGATCAAGTAAGACCTAGAGGTCATGTTGAAACAAAATCATCACCAAGGGAGATAGTAAAAGGAAATAAACAAAACATCAAACTCATAGAATAGGCCTACTTTACAGTTTCCCTTGAATTTATTACTGGATCGCTTATAGCGAGAATCCTGCTATAACAGACATTTTGCACCGGTCCCCTCCCTCTCGTTATAACAGGATTCCACTGTATTGCATTTAGATTATGGAGGCTAACTAAACCATTTTTACCACGAATGGGCTCAATGCATTTTATAATGATGATGATGAAAAAGATGATGAAGAAGAAGAAAAAGAAGAAGAAGAAGAAGAAGAAGAAGAAGAAGGAGAAGGAGAAGGAGAAGGAGAAGGAGAAGGAGAAGGAGAAGGAGAAGGAGAAGGAGAAGGAGAAGGAGAAGGAGAAGGAGACAAATAAATAAATAAATAAATGAGTAATTAATAAATAAAATAAATAAATAAATAAAATGATAACAAAAAAGCAACCCAAATCCGTTACCTTCCTGGCAAACTTGGGCATATGCCAGAGTGGCCTGGGTATCTTCGGGCACGGCATGTAGGTCCTCACGTTACACGCGTGGTTCTGGTAGTACTTCCGGTAATCCACTTTCTGTTAGAAAATGAACACATGGAATAACAAGACGGCAATACTTATTTTATTACATGTAACAAATTTTATCTATCTATCTATATATCTATCCATCTATCTATCTATTCATCCATCCATCCATCTATGTATCTATCTATCTATAAATCAGCTGAGCATGAAGCGGGATGGCAACACCGATGGATCCCACTTCCTCTTTTTCTTCCCTCTGTGTAGTTTCTGTCTGTCTTGGTTTTTCCAAATTCCAAGCACAATTTGAATAGTTGTGCAAACAAATGAGCGAACAAATAAACAAACATACAAACAAACAAAGAGGCACACATACATTCAATTAAGCAAACACACAAACTTATTAACCGGCTTTTCCTGCTGGTATTTCTCTGTACTTTCGCCGACGTCTCTTGGCCTAGACCGGATCCACTCGTCCTGAAACTTGGTGCTCAGAATATCGTGCATGTTGTACTTGATGTTGCTGGGGGAAAAGAAGAGAGTTCGTTTTCGTAAGAGTTTTACAGCACTTGCAACACAAAAAGGTCATAGTCATATAAGTGCTGAAGATTAGA